AAACACACACACACACACACACACACACACACACACACACACACACATTATGTATATAGATATGTGTGTGTGTGTGTGTGCGTGTGTGTGTGTGTGTGTTTGTGCGTGTGTGTGTGTGTGTGTGTACTCATGTGTACACACATGCTTATATATCGACAGTTTTGATAAATGTTTCAACGATTAGTTGGACAATAAAGATGATGCTATTGCTTTTGTTATTACTGTAAATTGAGACCAGATTGTATGTCTTTTTTTTAATCTAATGTATGCAGTGTTCTGTTTCCTCTTATTAATTATTAACAACACTGGACCTTAGCAATGGGCTTGGTGATAATGAAAGGTTACATTGATTCTCCCTCTCATCTGTAAATAGACTTTGTTCAAAACAGTATGTCGGTTGTATTCACAAATCAAAGAATTATACTGTAAGTGCCACTATACAATGGCAGTTAGTTAGTTCTTTGTGTTTAAGGACAGGATTGTGCCGTTTACTTGCTGGAGTCCACTGGAGGATTTTGTAAGACAATTAGTCATTTACACAAGCCATGGCCCTGGTTCTTTAGATCCTCAGCTAACAAGCCAGGATCCTGATTCCGTAAGACAATTAGCTAATCACACAGGCCACGGCTCAGGTCCTTACGACCCGTAGCTGCCTGCCCGCCCCCGCCTAATTGCACAAGCCATGACACTGATTTTACGGTGTTCAACCAATTTCCCACGCCATGACCCCGGTCCTTGGATCCTTAGCTAACTGCACAAGCCAGGACCCTGAGACAATTAGCTGATTACGCAGGCCACGGCTCAGGTCCTTACGACCCCCAGCAGCCTGCCCCCCCTTTCCCCCGCCTCGCCCTCGGCCACACTAACCCGCTGCTTCCCTCAGGGCGGTGTCTTCCGTGCTGGGCCTGGGCGCCGACCTGCTGTGCTCGCGCGTGCCCGGAATCACGCCCAGCCAGCGCCGCATCTGCAGCAGGGCGCCCGATGCCATCGTGGCCATCAGCGAGGGCGCGCGCAAGGGCATCGCCGAGTGCCAGAGCCAGTTCAGGAACCGCCGCTGGAACTGCTCGCTCCAGGCCAGCTCCAGCAGCGTCTTCGGCTACGTCGTCCTCCTGGGTAAGTCGCGGGCGGAGGCGGAGCGTGGATCCTGATGGTGACGAGGATGATGCCCGTGATAATGACTGTGATAATGATAATATTAGTGGTGATAATAATAACAATGATAATATTAATGATAATGATAATAATGATAATAGAAATAATAATAATATTGATAACAACAATAGGAATAATGATACCAACAATAATAATGATAATAATAGTGATAATAATAAAAATATTGGTGATTATGGTGATGGGATAATAATGATAATAATTGTAGCAGTAAAAATAATGATATTAATAATAGTAATAATAATAATAATGAGATGAAGAAGAATATCAATTATAGTAATAATAATAATGATAATAGTAATGATAATGATAAAAATAAGTATGACAGTAATAGTTATGACAATGATGATAGTAATGATATGAATTATGATGATAATAATAATGATAATAATAATAATAATAATAGTTATGATTACGATTATAGCAATAATATTAATGATGAGGGATAATAATAGTAATAATAATGATAATAATGATTACCATAATGATGATAGTAATAATAAAAATATGTTATCATAATAATAATGACAATAATGAACCATATTCATGTTGGCAAATGTAGAAAAGGTATGAGTGAGACTGAATGTCTTCTCAATACAAGAGATGTATTTAACCGGTTTCGATTATTCTTCGTTAGAAATACAGGAAATACATGATCTGGCAAAGATATATTCGAAACCGATTAGATACATCTCTTGTACTGTAAAGGCATTCATTCTCATTCATAATGATTATAATAATAATAATTTTTAATCAAGAGTAATGATAATAATGATAATAATGATAATTATTATTATTATCACTATTATTGTTATCATTATTATCATTATCATTATTATCATTATCATTACTATTATTATTATTATTATTATTATTATTATTATTATTATCATTACTATTATTGTCATTATCATTATTATTATTATTATTATTATTATTATTATTATTATTATTATCATTATTATCATCATTATTCTCATAACAGTAACATTCATATTTTTTTTCATTATCATTATTTTTATTGTAATTTTTATTATTATGTTATTATTGATATTATTACTTTTATTATGCATGTTGCTCGTGCTGTTGTTATTTTTATTATGATTATTATTATCATTTTGTTATCATAATTATTATTATTACCATTAGTAGTAGTAGTAGTAGTATCATTATTATTATCAGTATCATAACTATTATTGCTATTATTGTTGTTGTTATTGTTATCATTATCATAATTACCATCACTATAATTAGTAGTAGTAGTAGTGGTAGTAGAAACATTGTATTTACCATTATTGTTATTATTATCATTATTACCCTTATTATTATC